GCGTAATCCTTGCGCCCGCAGTATATGCTATATAGTCCACAATCCGTAACCGAAACTTCCGATCTGCTCCGTAAGAAGCCGGCGACACGAATGACTGCGATTCCAGAGCGGACGGCACATTAAATTTTGATCATTTTCACTTTGAGTCGAGCTGCGGTTCTCTGAAACTCGATGGACAATGTGTGAAAAAGTCCGAAAGCGAACAAACAACCAACCAAAGTATATGACGGATTTTCTTGGCCTCTCTTCACTCAGTGCTCGCATTTAAAACGACTGCTAATAATTGTTTAAACAAATAGTTTTTGTGCTACTAGAAAGATCGAGGAATCAAGGAAATTTCACTTTTTTGTGCGTATTTTGTTTGATTAAAAGTGCACTAAAAAGTGAGATGGGTGTATATTTAGTAACCATAAAGCGGGCAATAGAGATAAGCTAATGAAGCGCTGATGAATTGAATAAAAATACGTAAGTGTTACAGCATGCGTTAAGATTTATTATATTTTTGTAGAGATACATAAAATTTAAATTTTTCAACGGGAATTTCTTTTAACACATTCCTAATTTATATATGTTTTACTCATTTTTCTCCTCTGTCTGGCAAATAAACCGGAAACTATAGTTACACGGATAGTCGTACATTTCACCATTATATAGGAATATGCAGTTGGAAGTTTCCAATCGGGTTGGCCGACCACCAGATGACCATTTCAGAAAAGGAGCTGGTTTGCCGGTGGCCATAGACAAGTATTCGTCCTTACGGCCCAAGTCATTGATTCCCAGCCAGTAATGAGTGTCCTTCTCGAGATTCACCTGAATGGCGGTCAGTTCCTCTTGGTCCTTTATGTCAGCCAGATGACCTCCCATATTACGACAAGATTTTGAAGCAGAGGACCAATTCTTCTCGGTTACCTTTTCAATATAGAAGTATTTAGAGCCGATTTGCTCGAATCCCAGATATTTAATTTTAGTTTGCACTCTAAATAGTGTTTCTTGCAGGGCTGACAGTTGGCTTTCCAAATCATCCATTTTCTCAGTCAAGTTCTGCTGGTTGCTATCCAAATATTGTTGTTGGTTATCCAGTGAGCTCTCAAGAGTGGTTTGTTTTTCTTGCAAGGCAGCCAGTTGACTCTCCATCGTGTACTGCCTTACCAGGACCTCATTGGATTTGCTTGAATCACTGGGATTCCTTTGATCCTGGGGGATGGTCAAGCGATTCAGAACCGGTGTTAAAACACTAAGGCAGAATCCCCCACATTGGTTGGGAGGATCTTTTAAAGGGCAATAGGATTCAGTCTCCGCCAAAGCTTCACAGGAATTCCAAGCTAGAAGCCCACATAGCAACGCTATAGCTAATCTCAGCATTTTAAACACGAATCACCTCTTAACACGAGTTTTCTTAATGCACTGACCATTTGTTTTATACCGAATACTCTTATTTGTTTAAAAGAAATAAAGCACACCCCTGATTAAAGCTTAAACAAATTCAGTTGGGTAATGAATATTTATAGGACTACTTATTTATATCCAGAAAAGAACAAATTAAATTAAAAGCAGAAAGCATTAATGACAATCACTTAAAAATTCAACTACAATTTATTTAAAACTTTAAGGAATTAAAAGTGGAATTATAAAATATAGGTATACCTTTTTAAATAAACTTTTCCTAGTGTTAGGAAATTCATATAAGGGCTATCTCCTCCTGCAGGTGACCCTCCCTTTTCACCATGTCATTAATGACAATCCAGTACCAATTGATAAATATATTTTTTGTTTATCATGAGGATATGAAAACAGGCCATAATGCAGAATAAAATATTTTTTCGCGGTCTTTTTCAAATGCAGTTGGCTACGCCAATCATGATTCTTCTTAACCAAATCTGGCAACTCTGGCACGTAGGTTGGCAACATAGCAGGTACACCCTCCAATATAGCGAGGGCACAATCCATATTTATTTTCTTTACTTGTTGGATGGGGAACAGTGGATTTTGGAACAGGGTCCATTTTTTATTTTTGGTTTTCTAGCCATTTTCTGGTCTTATTTGATAAATTAAAAAAACTAAATGTTAAGAAAAATAAATCTCTATTGAAATATGTTCGATTTAAGCCTTTGGGAGATCTAAAAGTATTTTACAAATGCGTGTGAAAAATCAGGTCCTCACACTTTGGTGAATATCGTCCAGTTGCAGAGCTCGTTTGCCACAATTAACGAAACACCAACTTGAGGGAGATTTCTTGAAGGAATGTCTTTAAAATAATCTTCGAAACTTTTTGAGAAAAATGATTAACAGTGTGCCAGCCCAAAATTCAGCCCTTACAAAAAAAAAAGGTCAGTTATAGTCTTAATATAACTTAATAACATAACATTAAATTCCATGCCCATACCCGATTTATTATGTACATTGCAAATATTGAAATTTAAAAGACCCGCCACAAGTGTTGAGGAATACGAAAATGCAAATGACTTATCGATAGCTTGAGTTATAAACTTCCATCCCTAAATTCCGCTGCACTTATAAACACTGCAAATGCTTCTTCTTGAATCCGCGGCAAAAAAAAGTGCACAATCCAAATGCTCGAAAGTAAATAACAATATTGTGAAATTATCAATAAAGGCGCCAATCATCGTGAAAAGGTTAATAAATGCGAAAGTTATTAAAGTTCGACAACGAAGGCTGTGCGAGAAATTAGGCCACCAAACTGTGCTCTTCTTTTTCTCGGAAGCATTAGAAGGCTCGTCTCACACACACACACGCACCCAAATGCCAAATCAAAACCCTAATCCAATTGCCAAAAATAAACACTTCTATTTTCCAGAGTTAAAAGCGAATCGGATACAAATGTTTATATTCAATAAATCGATATTTGTGTCGCCAATTTGCGCATTTCAATAAAGTGCTAAGCGGAGTACTAAAATTAACAACATATTCGTTGCCTTTTTTTTTATTTACGCACACAAACACAAATGGAGTGTGAGAGAGACAAATGGGAGAATAGAAAAGAGGGAGAGAGGGTTGTTGTTGTTGTGCTATGCGACGTGTTCCGTTTATTTTTTAATGCTCATGAGTGTGTGTGCGGGAATTTCTGTTGCGTGAGTTGCAATACAAAAAAAAACCACGTGTGAAATATTTTGCAAATTTACCATTTTGTTTTGCTTAAATTTAGTATCTATTTCAAAATAAGTAAAAAAAAACTGCCGCTGTCAAAAGGTGTTTGTTTGGTCAACAAATTTATAGACATTACCAGACGGTTTTAACATAAATTAAACCGGCAAAATTAGCATTCGTATTTTTCATTATCACAACCCATACAAGGGCATTAAAGAAAGAGTGTAAATAAATGGAAAGGAAAAGAGAGTAAGAAAGTATTCACCAGATTCTCCTTTCCGACTTAAATTTTAGCTACCAATTAATCATTATTTTTAAGAAAGTTATCATTTGCAAAATATGATTGCCAAAAATTAAAAATTACTTGAAGAAAGTTCTCGAATATTGAGAGCCAAATGCCCAAAGTAAAAATATTTTGTTAAGTGCACTGTGAGAGGGGGCCACCTTCTTCCCCACACACACTTGCGCACTTGCTGCTCTCTCTCCCAGTACCCCATTCTTCTATTCCCCCACTTTTTATAACGGTATTAAGCGCTCTGGCATTCGTCACCCCGAAAAATTCTTTGGGTTTTTTGAAGAAATTTCCAAGCTTTTAAATACGCTGCATTGCTAATGTCTTTTGTTTTGGAAATAACAAGTTATAAATATATTTGATGTTTATTTTATTTTATATTTTTTATGGTTTGAGCTGCCACACTCTCTCTAACTTACCTAAATCTCACTGGTTCGACATCGAACCTGAGACGTCGCACAGTGGGCTAAATTTAAATTGTTATAGTTAATCAATGTTTTAAGGAAAGTGGGTCCGACATATGATATGCACATATTTACCTAACCAGTACTCCCGACAGTTATTTAACCTATCGTTTAAATTCGTATTTTTTTCACTTCATCCAAAGAGCTAAGTCATGCAGACTTTTCTAAATAAAACTGCGCATTATTGAAGAGCGCTCCCATTTACTATCAACATGAAAATATAATAAATACTATCAATCTGTTCTGTATTCGAGGAGATAAAGCAAATCGGATAGTACAAGAAAAAAAAACCTGACCACTCGAATAATCTACCCATTAACCATAGAGTAATGAACTATATAGAGGCGCCAATTGCTCTGCCGCTCTCTTTAGATAATGAGGCTATGATGCCACCTAGGCGAAAAATGCTTATTTCCCCTCTTTTTGACAAGTTCGATCGACCTTGTAATTCCTTCCCAACTCATTCTGCACCGCTCTTGCTCACTGTTTTGTTTTTGTTTTTAATCGAAATCCCTATTGCTGTTGCTTCGCACCTAAGTTAGCTTCAAACTTGGCCTTGAATGGGCTCTTAGCAGAGGTTGGGCAGAGGTTCGGGCAGAGCAATTGAAACCTCTATATAGATTCTTACTCTATGCATTAACCCATTAACAATAGTGTATGCCCAAGGTGTTTAAATAGAGTAAACCCTCAGTATCACCTTTTTTTTAATCTTTATAATCATAATTTCTATCAACAATCTAGTCTATGTAAACCGATAAGATTTAGTAACTGTCCCAAGGACAGATTCTAATTAAAATTTTATTTTTCCAAAAATTCCAATTTGAGTTCATTTTATATCTTCAAGATTATGATATCATAATATATATATATCAAAATATATCAAAAATAAATTGCCGGTTTATCCCACTGTTCGTCAAACCTTAGAGAGCGATGTTCGAGAGAGTGGCTCGAAGTCGAAAATCTATTTAAGCAACCCGCGGAACGCTCTCTCTGTTATTGCTCGATAAATTTTCGACCGCGCTGCTTGTGTTTCGGTTCCCATTGAAATAAATAAAATAAGATATATAAACAAAGAATATGGATATAGGTCGAAAGAAATTCATCCGCTAAAAGTATAAAAAATAAAGGATTTTTGAATCTTCCCTCTCGCTCTCTCACTCTTCCGCTCTGTGCGTGCGTGCGTGTGTGTGTGTAAAGGCCAAAGAGCGCCCCACCGCCTCCCCAGCGCCGCGCCCCCTCTCGCAGAAGATTAAATTGGGTAAAAAAGAATATATATCCTGCTCTTTTAGAATTTACCTGTGAAAGTGAAAACGTGACAACACGATAAAACGAACGAGGGAAGCAAAACAAAAAACGAGTGCATAAAAAAACAACAACGAAAGGAGAAGGAGAAGAAGAACAAGTGCAGCAATTCTGAAAAAAAGAGAGAACGGAACAAGAACACAAAAAAAGTAAAAATAATCAACGAAGGAAGGGCACGGAAAAGAAAAAACAACAGCAGACATTTACAGGTAAAAAATCTTTATGGGTAATTATACCCGTTACTCGTAGAGTAAAAGGGTATACTAGATTCGTCGGAAAGTATGTAACAGGCAGAAGGAAGCGTTTCCGACCCCATACAGTATATATATTCTTGATCAGGATCACTAGCCGAGTCGATCTAGCCATGTCCGTCTGTCCGTCTGTCCGGATGAACGCTGAGATCTCGGAAACTATGGGAGCTAGGCTATTGAGATTTGGCGTGCAGATTCCTAAGCTTCCTACGCAGCGCAAGTTTGTTTCAGTAGACTGCCACGCCCACTCTAACGCCCACAAACCGCCCAAAACTGTGGCTCCTACAGTTTTGATGCTAGATAGAAAATTTTAACTGAAATGTAATGTTCTCATCAATACCTATCGATTGACCCAAAAAAAAGTTTGCCACGCCCACTTTAACGCCCACAAACCGCAAAACCCTGTGACGCCCACAATTTTCATGCTAGATAAAAATTTTTAACTGAAATGTATTGGTCTCGTCAATACCTATCGATTGATCCAAAAAAAAATTTGCCACGCCCACTCTAACGCCCATAACGCTTAAATCTGTATACCGCCGGTAGGTGGCGCATTTTAATCTCGCTTTGCTGCTTGCATATCTCCATTTAGCTGCGTAACGGGTATCTGATAGTCGAGGTACTCGACTATAGCGTTCTCCCTTTTTTTTTTTATCTCCCTCTCTTTTCTCTATAAGAATTTCAAACGTTAATATTTTTTGGTATCTTCTCTTTGCCTATGATTCATTTATTTGCCGATAACATTTTGCAATTAATTTGGACTAAGGTTTCAATCATAAAATGAGTTTTGTGAATGATTCATTGTGATCGTAAATATTATTCTAATTTTTCTTTTCCCGAAATCCCACTAAATTTTATAAGCCTTAAAATTCCGTCAGTTTTGCCTTTCATGTGCTCTTTTATACGTAACTGATTAGATAGACGGTCTTTTTACGTTCAACCTTGCACAATTTATGATGGAAGCAAACCATTTTTTCCAGGGTGGTAGTGGGTGAAAAGAACTTACCAAAGAACTTAAATATGGTGCCAGAAAAGAAGTTTCGTTATTTATGGAATTTGCATGGGGATTATGTTTGGTTTATAACTCACTGTTGTTAGTTGATTGTGACTAGTTACGTTGAAATTTATGATATTTAATGTGCTTTCATGAATTTTATAATATAAAATGGGGATGTCCATATAACTGCATACAAATGTGTGCTATTTTTAAGACTCTGTAAATTCCCGAATACAAGCACAGATAAATATTTAATGCCTTTCTTAATAAGAAATTCTTATTACTTATTTGATATGACTCATCGGTGTATACAAAATGATTTGTGGCTTGACAATTTACCACTATTAAATGGATATCCCTTGGAGTTATTAATTTTTAGTTTGTTTGTACTCAAAATAGTTGTTTAACCGATAAGGGCCATATAAATTATCTAATTTATAACTATAACCTTGCTCGCTGAAATTCAAAGAAAAACCAATGCAATTGGCCAACATTGCCCAATAATTCAATTTCGGTCGGGTATAGTATCTTATCTTTAAGACAGATTGGCCCACAAATGAACCCAATTAAATCGGAAAAATAGTGAAATATTAGTAAGATACCTTTTGGAAAATTGAATGTTTATCTAAATACTTTTTACTGCCAATGGACAAATTGTATTTGGTTAAACTCTCTGTCAGCTGGTTCCATCGAATCGTTCGCTCACGTGAGTTAGCCGATACAAAACGACTTTTCAAATTTGAATCACAAAATCATAAAAAAGCAGTCATGCAATTTACAGATCCGGCAAGCAAGCCAGCCAGAAAAAAAATAAAACCAAAGCTGACCGACTGGAATCAGAATCAATCGATTTCAATAAGTCAACGTCGCTTTGCACCCAGTCTCACATATCCATCCATAAATCTATCCGTTTATCCAGAACGCACAGAAAAAAATGATATTCTTTAAGATATAAGGCAAGTCATGATACGTTTATTGATATTATATTTTTTTTTTCAATAATTAAATTGCTTAAATTTTTAAAATACTAAACTTAAAATATTTGATTTAAAGTTGGATTTTCTAAAGACCTCCACTGGGCAATCGATCCTAGCAAATACGATTTTTTTCCGCGTGCACATCTATCCATATCACATTTTCAGCATTATGTGTACGTGCCTAGCCGACGACAACGTGATTTATTTGGTGATTCACGTCGATTATTGTCCAAGTGCAACCGACAGGTTTCTGTCTATAAGTCTCACAATAGTGTCAGTCACTTGGTTCATTGAACTCTGCCAAAGGGTCTGAACTTTATTGAGAGTAACCAACTAACCCAGTGCCTCCAACCCTTGGCAACGCATTTAAGGTGGGCAGAAAATCAATATTTTTTTCGGGTAATTCTCCCCTCTAAAATCGCTTGGCTCTTACCTTTGCTATGAGTTTATTTTTGTGGCCACGAGAATGTTGCACAAAATGCCTGGTCGTTGGTCGTAAATCTGGCTGGGGTTGTCATGGGACCTGGTTTATGTTAAATTACCTGAAAATTAATTGTTTCTGCTTGCATTTGAGCAGACAACAATATTTCGAAATTTGTCCCCTTTAGCGGACGATTATGTTAGGCTAGGGTAGTATTATATTATTACTGGGGTTACCACAATACATAGAAGGTCTTGCAATAAGCAATTGGGACATAATTCAATAACACCTACATAAATAATTTAATAAATGTAATAACAACTACTGATGTTTTAGAAGATCCAAATTAATAGTTCAAGATATAATCAATAAACCTTTAAGGGTTTACTTAAAATAATCTTTAGAAGAAGATTTTAAAGTTTAGGGTTTCATTAGATAGCAACGGCTTTGAACACTTTTTAAACTTTTCTTAACGTTGCCTTCCTTATAAAAACCTGTTTGTTTATTTATACGCGAATAGGCGAAACCTCGGCATTTTATACAAACTCCAATTACCGCACTGCAATTGGATAAAGCTATTTGTGATATATCTGAGATCAAAAAGTATTAACAAAAACTGATAGGATCGCTGTAGACCAGTTTCTTTTCTAATTGCTTATTTTGATCAAGCTTGGTCTATTATTGTATCCACTTAATCGTGTGATATCAGTTATTGGACATGATCACCTGATGCTTACACCAGGCAAACTTCACACATCGTACCGCCTGATTTTATGGAAGGCTAGCGAAACTGAAAGCCCACACGCTCATAAATCCTAATCAAATTTATTAAATCAAGTACTGGCCGCGATGTGTTAATGACAGAACAGAAGAGCGAAACAAAAATACGCCCACCAGATGGATTTCCTACACTGGAACATAAAAAAAGCGAGACTAAAATAAAATTAAGTATAAAACGCTGCACATGAAAGGCAATCGGCGCGATATGAGCGCACTGTTCCATACATATATATAAATCCTATATAGAGATCCAGATACATGGCGGGCATATGTAGTTATACCCGAGATACCAAACAATCAATTTGTGCTCGACTTGGGGATATGACTTTGTCGTTGGCTCGTTCGGTAATTGTGGGGCATTAATTTGTGCAAGTAATTTCATTGAGCCCGATCTCGATTGTTGACAACAACTGCAGGGGCGAAAATAAAATATTTAACAGATGTCCGTGTAGAGCTGTTTGCCGATATCTGACGGTTATTGGATATAAGTTAATAACTGGCCGCTGGGTAAATATTTCTATACACTTCCCCCATTGATTAAATAACCTTGATTTTGCCTGACATCGTGTTGCCGTGTTGTAAACGTTATCCGTGCCGGATAAGCGGTAAATCAATAACCAGATCTGGTTATCAGTTGTTTTTTGCCTGGTAGGACGTGCTGTAAATGTAAGCATATCGAATGTAACTCAATTAGGCTTCGCCAAAAGGGGTATAAATACCAAATGAACAGAGTTGAATATCAGAGTAGTTGGGTTTATTAGTTTTGTCTTTTATCTTAACAAATTTAAATTGAACCATAAATATTTAGATATTACAGAAATTGTGACTGGATTAATAGAATTCATCTATAAGAATATTTTAATTTATGATCTTATGATCTACATATACTATCCTATGACCTATATGTTCTATATGATCTATATGATCTATATTATCTATATGATCTATATTATCTATATGATCTATATGATTATGATCTATATGATCTATATGATCTATATGATCTATATGATCTATATGATCTATATTATCTATATGATCTATATGATTATGATCTATATGATCTATATGATCTATATGTTCTATATGATCTATATGATCTATATGATCTATATTATCTATATGATCTATATATCTATATATCTATATGATCTATATGATCTATATGATCTATATGATCTATATGATCTATATGATCTATATGATCTATATGATCTATATGATCTATATGATCTATATGATCTATATGATCTATATGATCTATATGATCTATATGATCTATATGATCTATATGATCTATATGATCTATATGATCTATATGATCTATATGATCTATATGATCTATATGATCTATATGATCTATATGATCTATATGATCTATATGATCTATATGATCTATATGATCTATATGATCTATATGATCTATATGATCTATATGATCTATATGATCTATATGATCTATATGATCTATATGATCTATATGATCTATATGATCTATATGATCTATATGATCTATATGATCTATATGATCTATATGATCTATATGATCTATATGATCTATATGACCTATATGACCTATATGATCTATATGATCTATATATCCTTATGATTTATGATCTATATGATCTTACAAGCGTGAGTTTTGATAAATTCAAATATCTAAAGTCGGATAAGGATTATTAAATGTATATATAGAAACACTCAGCTTTACTTATAAATGCAAATTTAATTCATATTAAATGGTTTATTGTGCTCTTATCCGTTGTTACTTACAATTGACTAA